ACTTAACATTGCTGTGCCTCTGTTTATATTACAGATGCATATTTGCAGAAACAAAAGTGAAATTGTACAATTTTCAATTCTTTGCAAAGCTAACAAGAAATATTTAAATTTTAAATAGTCTCCATTATCTAACGACCTTAAGTCAGATATGAAGGACTTGCTACAAACTGCAATTTTCAGTGGACTTTAGGGAATGTTAATCTTTTTCACCACTACACCTGTAGCAAGAGAGAAAAACCCTGAGAGCTTACTGGGGGAACAAATCAAAGGGAATGAAGCAAGAAACCACAGAAGTGCTATAAATGAGAGTCTAGAAGAATTTATAGGAAAGGGAATTTTTTTTTGTAATCTATTCCCTTTGATTAGATTTTTGTAAAATTGTCTAGAGAGGTAAGTTCTGTGCCTAAGTCTTCTAAGATGGGATGCTATTACTTCCTTAGGACCAAGGACCCCATTGTTCATTTAAAATAGCATCAAAAATACTTGGAATAAATTTAACAAAATTATAAAATATGTATTCTGAAAACTGAAAATCATGAATAAAAGAAATTAAAGAGAACCTAAATAAATGGAAAGACATACCATTTTCATGTATTAGAAAACTCAGTATTATTGTTTATATTATAATAATATTACCAAAATTGATCTACATTTAAATCCCTATAAAACAATCCCAGCTAATTTCCTTGCAGGAATAAACAAACTGGTTCTAAAATTCATATGGAGATACAAGAGATTTCAAATAACAAAAACAATTTTGAAAAAAAAAAACAAAAGAAAAGAGTTTGAGGGTTCATATTTCCCAATTTCAAAACTTACTATGAATAGACAGTAATCTAGGGTGTGTGGTACTGGTAAAATGATAGGCATATTAGATCAGTGGAATGGAATTGAGAGTTCAGAAATAAACACATTTATAGTCGACTTATTTTTAGCAAGGGTGCCCAAACCAATGAAGAAAGAATTGTCTTTTCAGCAAATGGTTCTCGGACTACTAAATATTTACATGTATAATAATGAATTTGGAAACCTACCTCACACCACATGCAAATGCTAATTCAAAATACATGAAAAATCTAAATTTAAGAACTAAAATTATTAAAATTTAGAAGGAAACATACATGTGAATCATTTTGACATTGGTTTAGGCGATGGTTTTGTAAATTTGACATCAAGGTGCAAGTTACAAAAAACACAGAAAAAATAGATAAATGGCACATCCAAAAATGTAAAACTTTTGTGCTTCAAATAACACTATCAATATAGTGAAAAGACAATACACAAAATGGGAGAACACTTTTGTAAGTCACAGATCTAGTGTGGTATTTATATTTAGAATGTGTAAAAAGCTTTCACAATTCAATTAAACAGGCAATAAAAAAATGGGCAAATAATTTGACTAGATGTTTTTCTAAAGAAGGTAAATAAATGGTAAGAAAATGAATAAAGTGCCATCAGGGAAATTTATATCAAAACCATTATATACAACTTTTTATCAATTAGAGTGGCTATAATCACAAAGACAGATAATAAGGTTTAGTGAGAATATGGAGAAATTGAAATTCTCATACATTGTTGATGGGAATATAAAATGATGTGGCCACAATGAAAAGCAGTCTGACAATTTCCGCTTTCAATACTTGGTATATATGCAAGAGAAATTGTTACAAATGTGCCAAAAAATGCTTGCACATGAATGTTACAGCAGCTTTATTCATAGTAGCTAAATAAATTAATTGTGGTGATGAATGCAGACCTGTGACTATGCTAAAAGTCACTGAATTGCACACTTCAAATGAGTGAATTTCATGGTGTATGAATTATATCTCAAAAAATATATTTTTAGAAAGACAAAAACTGTGTATATTCACATATTTATAAATTTTTTTTATGCATAAACATCAATACCAATATTAAGCTAAACATGAGTTTATACTGATGTCCCCAACTAGTTTCCATAGCCATATGAAACTTTTTAGCCTCCTCCTCTTGCTTATCTGTGAATTCTTCTCCAACACTGAGAAACCTGGCTTCCCTTCATCCACCATCCACTTACTTGTTAAATTTCAATATACATGCATAATAGTATTAGGATTTTTTTTATTATTATTATACTTTAAGTTCTAGGGTACATGTGCACAACGTGAAGGCTTGTTACATATGTACACATGTGCCATGTTGGTGTGCTGCACCCATTAACTCGTCATTTACATTAGGTATATCTCCTAATGCTATCTCTCCCCGCTCCCTGCACTCCACAACAGGCCCTGGTGTGTGATGTTCCCCAACCTGTGTCCAAGTGTTCTCATTTTTCAATTCTCACCTATGAGTGAGAACGTGCGGTGTTTGGTTTTCTGTTCTTGCTATAGTTTGCTGAGAATGATGGTTTTCAGCTGCATCTATGTCCCTACAAAGGACATGAACTCATCCTTTTTTATGGCTGCACAGAATTCCGTGGTGTATATGTGCCACATTTTCTTAATCCAGTCTGTCCTTGATGGATATTTGGGTTGGTTCCAAGTCTTTGCTATTGTGAATAGTGCCATAATAAACATATATGTGTATGTGTCTTTATAGCAGCATGATTTATAATCCTTTGGGTATATACCCAGAAATGGGATGGCTGGGTCAAATGTTATTTCTAGTTGTAAATCCTTGAGGAATCGCCACACTGTCTTCCACACTTCTGTCTGCAAGTTCCGCCAATAAAACATCCCTTACAACAAAGTCAATTTGTCTTCCTCATTCTTTGGTTTCTTGGCTTTTTCAGCATATGGGCGCCACTTTGTGTAAATGATCCTTTCACAGTACATTTCCACAGTGACTTAGGTCAGCACATCTTCCCCCTGCCCCATCGCTGAGGTTATAACATACATTCGTAATGTAATTCAAGTGTCACAGACTGCATTCCTTCTTTAGTTCTAAATTATTTTTAAACATTTGCATACATTAAGGTTACTCTTGGTGCTCTAAATTTCTGTGAGTTTTGACAATGTATAATGGGATGCAATTCCTATTGTAATATCATGTAGAATAGTTTCATTAACACGTAGATTCTGTGTCAGTGTGGGTTTATGAGTTGTAACAAATGTTCCCATCTCATAGGGGATATTGATAATGTGTGAGGCTATGCATGCAGAATCTCCATGTCTTTTTGCAGCTTGATTGCTCACTTTAAAAATTGTTCAGTACCTCACTGTATAGATGTACCACAGTTTGTTTATTCATTTACTTATTGAAGGGTATCATGTTTGGCTCTTTATACTTATTGGTGATAATGGATATAGATAGTATAAATATCTACATGCAGATTTTTGTATAAACACAAACTCTCAATTTATTTGGGTAAAGACCTAGGAGTGTCATTCCCAGATCAGATGTTAAGACTAGGTTCAGCTTTATAAGAAACTGCCAAAATCTCTTTTGCATTCACACCAATAAGAAATGAGAATTAGCCTTGAACAGAATTCTTGTAAGCATTTGGTATTGTCAATGTTTTCGATTTTAGCCATTTTAATAAGGGCATAATATCATCTCATTGTTATTTTAATTTGCAATTCCCCCCCGACAAATAATGTTGAACGTTTCTTAATAGGCTTGCTTGCTATTTGCATATCTTTTTTGATTAAGTCTTTGTTCAAATACTTTAGCCATTTTTTAATTAGGTTGTTTGTATTCTTACTGAGCGTTACGAGTTATTTGTATATTTTGGATACAAGTCTTTTATCAGATATGTGATTTACAAATATTTCCTCTAGTTTGTAGCTTTTCTTTTCATTCTCTTAGCAGTTTCTTGCACAAAGCAGAAGTTATTAATTTTAATATATTCTAATTTATCAACATTTTTTATAAATCATGCTTTTGGTGTTGTATCTAAAAACTCATCACTAAACCAAAAGTCACATGGGTTTTCTCCTATATTTTCTTCCAGTACTACTGTGTTTTTAATATTTAAGCCTACACTATGTTAATTTTTGTGAAGAGTGTAGTATATATGCCTTTTCTTCTTATGGATGTCCAATTCCTCCAGCACCGTTTGTTGGAAAAAAAATTCTTGCTTTTCTCTATTGAATTGCTTTTGTTCTTTTGTCAAATATTGGTTGATTCTATTTTTTTGTTTCCTTTTTTTTTTTTTGGCCACCTGTTCTGTTCCATTAGTCTAAATGCTTTTTCTGTCAAAAATACCATGTTGCGTTGTGTACTAAAACTTTATAGTAAGTCCTGGGTCAAGCATCCTGAGTCCTCCAACTTTATTCTTCTTCAGTATTGTACTCGTTATAATAGGTCTTTTAACTTTTAACTTCCATCTAAACCTAAAAATTAGTTTGCTTGTATCCACAAACAGCTTGCTGGGATTTTTATTGGAATTGCATAGATTTTAAAAATCAAGTTGGGAAGTATCGACATCTTAAAAATATTGGGTCTTTCAATTCATGAATGTGGTTCTCCCTTCATATATTTTGAACATATTTGAGTTTTTTTCTCTAGATTTTTTTAGTTTCATATATAAATTCTATTAATATTGTGTCAGATTTATACCAAAATATTTTTCTTTTTTAATTTACTTTTTTATTTTATTTATGCATTTATTTATTGAGACAGAGTCTCACTCTATTGCCCAGGCTGGAGTACAGTGGCACGATCTCAGCTACTGCAACCTCCACCTCCCGCGTTCAAGCGATTCTCCTGTGTTCAAGCAATCCCAAGTAACCGAGATTACAGGCACACATCACCACGCTTGACTAATTTTTTGTATTTTTACTAGAGATGGGTTTCACCCTTTTGGCCAGGCTGGTCTCAAACTCCTGACCTCAAGTGATCCACCCACCTCGGCCTCCCAAAGTGCTGGGATTACAGGCATGAGTCACTGCGCCGGGCCACAAAATATTTCCCTTTTAGTATGTGTTATTGTAAATGGCATTATGCTTTTAATTTTAAATTCCAATTTCTTATTGCTGATATGTAAGAAAGCAATTTAATTTGTATAATAATTTCGTATTCTATGAATTTGCTATAATTACCACTTCCAGAAGAACTTTTTTTTCAATACTTTGGGATTTTGTAAATTGACAAAAAACAAAGACAGTTCTTTTTCTGTTTGTTCATTTCATAAGCCTTTATTTCATAGTATTTCATCATTGCGCTAGCTAGGACATCAAGATGTTGAATTGTAATGGCGAACAGGGACATCCTGGTCTTATTCCCAATCTTGCAGGGAAAATATTACATTTCTCCCCATTTTTACTACATTATACCATGAGTTTTCAGGGTTTTTTTTTTTTTTTTTTTCATTCTAATTCTTCATTTTATTGCAGGCCTGTTAGGATAGAAAGAACAGCAGAGATCAGAGAAATCTTGGTTTCAATCACAACTTGGATCTTGGTCAAGTTAATTTCACTCTTTCACATTTTGATTTCCTCATCTCTTAATTAGAAAAAAAAATTCCTACACCAGTGGCTTGTTGTGATAATTACTTAGAATAATGTTTGAATGAATATTTATTCATTTAACATTTTAATACCTAACTTTGATTTAGGACCTGTCCTAAATGCTTGTGAGAGAACTTTGTGTAAGACATAGGTCCAGTTCTCAGAAAATTTGGAGGGAAAAAGTCAAGGGCATTGTTCTCTTCAATAAACAATTGTAAGTGCTATGAGAGCTATAAGTACCGATAGTAGATTTTTAATAATTAGAAGCCATCATCTTCATTATTCCTTTTTCAGCTTCAGTTACTCTTCCTTAGTTGTCAAAAAGAACTATTAACATTCTCTATTTTCTTTCCATTATTGTTCTGCAAACAATAATGCATTGGTTTCTATAACAAAAAATTAGTACAAACAATTTTCCAATGATAACCTCTTTAGTTTCTGCATGGTTTCCACTTCTTCCTAACTTTTTCACATATATATCTCAAAATTTCAATACCTAACATATGTGATGCCAACTTTTTTTTGGTGTCCTGTATATTTTTTTCATATAGTTCATATAATCTCTCCCTATATGCAACTTATAATATAATATTCCAAAAAGCAGAGGTGCTAGTTATATTTTTCTGCAAAGCATACTAGGTGTTGAATACAAGGCTTTTTTTTTTTTTGTAACACTAATGTTGATTATTTAGGTGTATAGCCAGTCTTTATAAAGTCTGATATTAATCTTGGACTCAATCCTTTGCATTTTTGTAAGGAATAGGAAGATTAAATGAAGGCATTTTGTGTATATGGGACTGTATAGGAGCATCAGCCCAGATTTTGTGTTTTACAAGATAAAATCACTGACAATACTTTGGTCTCCCAAAGGACGGTGTTTTGTTACCTGGCAACAGTCTTTACCACACTCATGATGTGTTAACTAAATATAATTTCAGGTCAGCTTCCAGGTATTGTCTGATTTATAAGCTGAGTATTTGACAAGGTTCTTTTCTTCTTTTTATTGCATCTATTTTGGGAGGAGGGAAGAAGCAGAGGTGTAAGGGGATAAAGTGGCAGAGCTAACGCAAACACAAACAACTGGGAACATATTAGCAGAGGTCACACCAAGAACAGTTATTTCCCCTTTTATGCTTCCTGCTGCCTGCAGTGACCAATGCACAATCTTGGTTTTCAAACACGAAGTAATTTGTTTTGCCTCGTCTCTCCTAACTTTCTTAAAAGTAAGCTAACGAAGAAGCAGCAACTGGAGGCACTAGCTAGGGTTTGCATGTATATGTGCGTGTGCCCAGGTGTTTAATAAAACATTAAGATAAGCGCTGTTTTTGAGATATTTTTGGTAGTTTCTGCTGACTCTTTAGTCTCTCCGAAATCTTTTCTGCATCAGCAATTTTGTATTTGATTTGGAACATGTTCTAAATATTCTCCACCAGAGATTAGAGGGTGGGCTTGTCGAGCATGAGTAAAGAAATTCATATGTATACTTGTGCCATGTTGCTGTGCTGCACCCATCAACTCGTCATTTACATCAGGTATAACTCCCAATGCAGTCCCTCCCCCCTCCCCCCTCCCCGACATGGCACAAGTATACATATGTAACAAACCTGCACGTTATGCACATGTACCCTACAACTTAAAGTATAATAATAATAAATAAATTTAAAAAAAAAAAGAAAAAAAAAAGAAATTGCACATGTACTGAACTGCAGAAAATGCAGACATGATAGTGATAATAGATAGATGACTTTCTTTCATTTCAACTTGAATGGTTGTAATTTTAAGCCAAAGTTACAAAATATTGGTGTAAATATCACTAACAGAGAGGTAGTAAGAAAATAAAGAGCTACAAATGTAAAAAAAAAAAAAAAAAAAAGAAATTCAAAGAAATGGTTTTTGAGAACCCTGGGATGCTTGTTGTTTCTGTCAAAGGAAAGCAGCATTTCAGTACACATTTAGCTACTGAGCAGCAATTACTGACCAAGTTTTCCTCATGACCAATGATTGCTATGCAAAATGCTCTACAAAATTTAGGGGATGCCATTTGCTGATTAAAATGCATTTGCTCTGATTGAAATTTGTATTTGAAGACAACTGATATGGGTTGTCTGGATGACTGCACCATTGATTTTGATACTGTTTTAGGGAATCACGTATTTACTTTTTACAGAAAAGGAAAAAAGGACATAGTTCCTGTCATCCGGGAGTTTTAGTTTAGTTGGTGGTCAGTTTTATAAAAGCAGTTTACCTATCTATTTTAGAGGAAAAATAGTCACTATTTAATTTGCCTGTTCCTGAATCTGAGTCTTCCAGAATTTGAGTTATTCTATGATGTAAATATATTAAAATGACTATTATATAAGAATCCCTGTGTAGAATATTGGAGTGTGTGTATGTGTGTGTGTGTGTGTGTGTGTGAACATTAAATTTCTACTCTATGCCAGGGTCCTTTACAAATGTTAATTCTCAAAACAAAACTTTTAATTGGTATGTATTATTTATCAGCATTTTGCAAATTTGAAAACAGAGGCTCACAGGGCATAAGTAATTTGCTGAACATATGAAGTTGTGGCTATTTGAGTCATTGGCACATTCGCTAACTTCAATTCCAATATTGTGTGCAATATTCAACTTCTCTTTAATGAATCATTTAATGAGAAATAATAAATATTAATTAATTATTAATTAGACAGATTGCACTTCTCCTGTTCAATAGAAAGACATTTCTAATACATATGTAGTTTATCTTAAATTATTAATAGATTTTTGTGTACCTAGAATACACATGTTTAACCTTCTTTTTTGCTTTGGTGTTTTATTTAATACCGCAAAGTTTAGTTTGTCTTATATTTCAAGTTGCTTTGCATAAATTGTTATACACATATAAACTTATTTGTGCAATTATAATTTTAATGTTGGTTTGAAAGTATGATTAGATGACAGATTATAAGAGTAACATAAGTATTTTAGAAATACATGAAATTACTCAGCACATTGTGAATAAAGACAACTTATATCATTGAATGTTACTCATTTGCATTCAAAAATAATAATAATAATTTCTAAGTAAATATGCACCAATCTTCATCAAAAAGTCCTATTTTCAAAATTCAAAATAAATCAATATTAGTATACCTCAAATTCTGGTATGGAGATCTTGTTCTTTAAGCATTATTTTGTTCTATTCATAGAAACCAAACTTTTGGCTAAAAAAGGAAGTTTTTAACCTTGCCAAAATGAAGAGTCTTATGCTGTCTTAAAATATTTAGCAAGAGCCAGCAGAAGCACACATTCCTCTGATTTTCACTAGTTCTTTTTAAATGATATTATCTGTTCCACACAGTTTCTGCAGAATAAAGAAATGAGGGAAGCAATTCATCTGTAAGAAAGACGGGTATTTCCATTTGGAAATGGATAATGTGGGCAAAAGGCATTTGTAGAGATATAGGGACCAGATAATAAATATATACCCCAGATGCAGGGGAAAGGGGTCAGTGTCTCAAATGGCTCTGCACAGGGGGGAGGTTCAAGAAGGTTGATGTAATGGAGCAAGCTAAAAATTAAAGCGTTCAGCCCTATAACATGCCTCCACAGTAAGCACTATGTAGAGACGACTGCTCAAAATCAGAGCAGTATCGATTTTTCAAATTGAAAATTACAGGATTTGTCCAAATGTAGCTCTTTGTTCTCATGCCATCATCTTTGTGATTTTGAAGTTTTATAGGCCAGTGACTGAATTACTTCTATTGTGGAGAGGAAAAGAAACTAATTTTTAAAGTTGATAATTCAATTATCATTATTACTTAGATGTGTAATGTATTAATTTTATGAACAAGCAATTAATTTATTGTGGACTTGGTTTATTCACTTTCAATCTAAAGTACTCATATGAATCATTTCTGTGCTGGCCACAGCAGCCTCCCAGCTTAGCTCCCAAATTCCAGGCAGTGATGGAGACAGGGCCATGGTTTACCAAGATCATATTTACCATTGCCTCTGAGTTCCTTTTATATAACCTAAAACTTGTCATTTCTTAGAAAACATGAATACGTGATGTGGAAATAAGAAGAAGTATAAAAGTTTAGATTCCAAAATATGCCCAAAATAATCATTGAGAATAACTTATTTTTAAGAGTTTAGGAGTTTATTAACACTTTACTCGCTTTTATTTTGAAAAATATCCCTTGGATTTAAAAGTCAAGGACTATTTTTTACAAAATGTGGAGCATCTATCCCACCACAAAAGAGTTCTCTTTTTTTAAAGAGCAAAAGCAAAACCCAGAAGAAAACCAAACAACAACAGCAAACGGTGTGTAAGTATAGTATTAGGAAACACTAACCATTCTTAAAAATCCTGTCTTTCAGGAAAGAACGGTGACCATCAGAAGACAAACAGTAGGAGGATTTGGATTAAGCATAAAGGTAGCCTGCCTTTCTAGTCTATCCTTACAAAGGCCGTGCCATAAGAGTTGAACTTTGGTGCATTTCAATGTTTGCTGATTAATCATTAGACAAGAATGGCTGTAGCAAACTTCTTAATATTTGGACTGGGATGTAAGTTAGGTAGGTTCTCACAGAATTCCTGCCAACTCTTACCATTTGATTTAGAAAATTTAGCAAAGAATATGGGAATTTTACCTTACCATTAAATATAACTCATTAACTTTCTTTATCTGGTTTCTTCAGAAGTGTTAAATATGATGTTGTGTGCATATCTTTCTTTAACAAACTGGAGTAGGAAATGATGATCTGCAGTAAATAGAACATTAACAAGTTTCACACTTATAAAGTCCAATAGTAAGTGAGATATTGTATTCTGTTCATCTTGTTTATTTTTCATGTTTTAAAAAGAAATCGGTAAATTTAATTTTATAGTGCTAGTCATATAGGATACACTTAAAGTCTTTGCATAGCCTTTATTTTTAAAATGAACACATGTGTTCATTTCAATTTATTATCAAATTTTAAAGACTTTCATTTTGTATATTATTGACTATTAGAGATGTGCCATATCTGTAATTTATTATAGAAATAAAGGAGAAATTTTTAAAGGATGGGAAATTATGTGAATATTGAAGAGTTAATCTCATGATTGCAATGCCTTTATCAAACCTACATCTCATCATAGATAAATGAAGTTTAACTTTATAATTCTTAAGTTAGTCATTTGACTTACATAGGGTGAAAATAATTTATATATTTCAAGAACACATTTCTCGATATTTCAGCACAACTCATGTCATATATGTATGGAAATCAGAACTCTAAATTTTGTGAACATCAGTTCTAGTTGACTTTGTGAAAATGACTCAGAGTAGAAATCAGTATGCAATAGTATTGTACTGTCACTGATAAGAAAAGAATATTGCTATACAGAGCATTGGCTTTAAAACATATTTTGTACATTCGGTTTATCAAAGTGAAACTTTATTTTATCACCAACTAAGACCAGGGAGGCATGTAGAACAAATTATAGGATGTGGAAAGTATGCCATGAGAATTTCATCCCTCAGCAAATGATATTTTTTTTTTCTTTTGGCCAAGCTGTTCATTGATATTGCGTAAAGAATTTAAAGGTACCACTTAAGATACTAGAAAATCCATGAATGAAATCCAATAGTGAGAGCTGATTTCATCTGAAATAATTATTTTTACTGAATCAGGCACTAACTCTATTTCTGGTAGTATTGCTTACATTAATTTTATGTCACCTAGAAACGTTCTTTTCCTTTTTTTGTTGTTGCTTGTATTTATAATTTAAACCCAATAATAAAATGCTATGTATTTTTATTAAAATACCACATTTTAACCTAGCTTTTAAGCATCAATAATTTTTCTAAATAAATCTTTTCATATTGATGTTTTCACTATTTCAATCCAAGCAAAACTATTATGTGTGTAATGAATAGAATAATTTTTGAATTAAATAAGCATGTAGTTTTCATTCAAATATTAACCAATAAGTGGTATTTGAACTATGATCAATATCTTATATTAGGATTAACAAAAAAGAACATTTTGCAAAATTCTTATGACACACACACTCTGACAAGAAATACAAACATCAAGTTAGAAGCAGAATTCGTATTTTGGTGTTGAATTATTTATTTGGAGTTTTCAGGAGCAATTTGAGCCTCTAATATAAGTATGCATATAAATACGTAAATGCATATCTTACCCTTATTTGCTTCAGTTAAGTAATCCTCACTGGCACACACCTGGAAGATTCGTGGTGAGAATTATTAATTAAAACCTTTATGGTCTTGGCTTAAGATCACAGAAGGAAGATGGTATGCTAGACAACTGAAAAATCATTTACCAATGTAGTTAAGACTCCTACAGGTGCTTGTGAATTCCACTGGACTCAGAACACATGGCATTTTAGTTTTATATTAAAAACACTCTTTAAGAAAAAAAACTTGGTTAAAGGGTAACAAATGTCCTTTTTAGACAGAATGCAGTCAAACGCTCTAACATGTGCTGCTAGAAGTCAAAGCCAGCTGGCCATGCCCTACACTCCTGACAAATCTTGGCTTGGGGACGTTCCCGTCACAGTCACCACTATGCACCATGGTAATTCGTCGTATCTCCCGACAAAGTGGACAAGGACAGTGAGGAGGGGCTTTTTATGTAGGTTTGAGTCCAGTATTTTGTTGGTTAATATGTCTCACTGGCTGTGGGCTGTGGGCAACATGATGTCTCTGTAGCTACCAGTGTCCACAAATCCTTGATGTCTGCTGCTCATGTGCAATATTGCTGTCTCTCTCAAGCCCTGTTTCCAGCCGGAGTACCTTGTAGGGTATAAGTTGATGGGAAAATAAAAGTTAGCCTTTACCTTCATTTTTCTTATTTACCTTATATAAGACATTGTTCAAACTTCTGGGACAAAAAATGTGCAGGTGGCTTGGAGGTTGAGGCAGTTCTATGTCCCACGAGCTTAATTCTAGGACTTTAACTGTTCCCTTGAAGCACTAATACCAGATACGATGTAGACCACATTGAGGAGAGTTCCCATCTCAAAACTTCCCGAAATCCTGAAGAAAGTATGTATTTAGTGGAAATGAAAGGAATATTGTAATAGCTTTACATTTTAAAAATGTGATTTAAATAAGTTTGAATCCTTTTTCTTTTCAAATTTTGTCTAGTTTTCTTCCTATTATTCCTTAATTTTTCTCTTTAATTTTTTGAAGTATATTCTTTGGAGTTTCTTACCAAATCTGAGCTTGTCCTTTGAAAGTCATACTTATCATTTCTTCAAATCATCTCCAAAAATGCTAGACACTCAATTTGAAAAAGACAGCCACCCAAAAAGAGTTCTGACATCAACTACATTGAGGTTTAAGGTAGGAATTACTGATTTATCTTCACGCACATATTTGTCCTTTAGGTTCCTAAACTCCCATCATTTTACAATAAGAATGTTTTACTCCATTAATAGGTAAAGACCAAAATTACCTATTTCTCCATGTTAATTCTAAATAATAATAATAATAATAAAAAAACAAAAGCAAAGCCAGAAATGACCTCTGAGCACAGTGTCCAGCTTTAGCTCATACTGCACATGGAGAAGCGGATGCCTTGACCAGAGAGGTGCCACACACAGGCTGACACTTTCACATCCCCATCTCCCAGTTTTGATGAACTATTTGTCTTCAGCTCCTAAAGTGAATAGAAATTCTTTTTAACCTCTGGGGAGAATGTCCCTTCCTGGATTGTGCTACTTTCTCTGCTTTCCTGTCTTATTCTACAGCTATTCTTTCATTGCTGTTTAGCGAATCTAGGAGGATCAAATGAGTAACTGAGCCATAATGTAATGAGATGAAATTTGGAGGCATGACATACACATTTACGCCAGTCCCTCTGCTGTCTTTAAGTGAAGCAAACCCCTACTTTAGACCCTTGAAGGAGAGAGCAATGCTTCCTTCCTCTCTGATCAGAACCCTTCTAGGGTTTTGTGCACCACCCTTACTCCTACTCCCAGCCCTGCAGGCATCCTTGCTTATTCCAGCTGTTCTTTCTCTCAGGTTGCCTTTCAGAGGTGTCCTCACTCCTGCTGTAACTTTTAGCATTTTTTGACAGTGATTTAGATTTCTTCCTGCTTGTTATTATTTAATTTTCCGTGATTAAAACATCTCTCAGAAATCACACATTTGTATGCTTTTTATTTCTTTGTGTTAATTTGTCCATCATTTAAAAAAAAAATCAAGCTCTTCTATTTACTTTTTAAAAATGTTTCCACAAAAAGCCCTATCTGGGCTTCCCCCAAAGCTGAACAAAAGAACTACTAAACTTTCAACTCATAATCACATATTCTGTTGCCTGCTCTCAGGCAGAAACTGCTCCTTTGAAGTGGACAGATTCAGCAGGCTAGTGGCATCCTGCACATGGCCTTGGGCCTGGCTGTTTTTCTCTGCTGTAGCACCATTTCTACCGTCATTTCATGGTTCTTCTCCCAGCCTCACCGATTCTTGTCTCCTTCCCTCTCAAGTGCCCATTCTCTGGTATGGACCATTCAAAGACTTGGCATTTATATAAATAACTTTAATAGTTTCTTCAACTACATCTGCAGAAATCAACAAATTTCTGCATCGTAGGATCCAATATTATTGTATTTTGCCTTATTCTTCTTATCAGAATTACCATAGGGATAGTCAGGTTAAAGTCAGCCATCATCTTGCCCTTGTGAGGCTTTATTTATCTCTCATGTCTTTTAAAATCCAATACTATCTATCTGCACATTATTAAATTATACTTCTGACCATTGTCATTTTAAAAATTACCTCTGAGGGAAAGGAAGTTTTAAATGTTATTACTGTAAAAATATTTTATGCAGTATTTTCCAACAGACACAACTTTCTTATGCAAATATATAAATTATCTATGTCCATTAAATAAATGTATGCAATCAAAGGTGATTTCTATTTGGAAGCTTTAACACTGCAGCAATCAAAAATATAATTATAATCATTATTACTCTTAATCATCTTCTCATTTATAAATAAATTGCTAATATTTATGCCCCACTTATTAAGTGCCAGATTCTGAGCTAAATACTTTATATTTAGTTTAACTTGCCTTTATTATCTAGCGAAGTAGATAACTATTGTTATACCTTCCACAAACAATGAGATCAAGTGTCAAGAGGTTAAGTAGTTCATCGATTGTTATAAGCAGTAGAGTTGGACCTCAGTGCCCCTAGAAGCTGATAACAAAGTCCTTACTCTTAATAACTATGCTTTGAACTATGAAACCTGAAATAAATTACCTCAAAACTCTCTACTCAGGGACACAAATCATGTTTCCTCTCTATGCTGTTCACTTTCTGGTTTATTTAAAACTGAAATAAGGCCAGGCATGGTGGCTCATGCCTAAAATCCCAGGACTCTGTGAGGCCGAGACGGGCAGATCATTTGAGGTCAGGAGTTCAAGACCTGCTTGACCAACATGGTGAAAACCCGTCTCTACTAAAAATAATTTTAAAAAATTATCCGGGCATGGTGGCACATGCCTGTAGTCCCAGCTACTTGGGAGGCTGAAGAAGGAGAATCACTAGAACCTGGGAGGCGGAGGTTGCAGTGAGCTGAGATCATGCCACTGCATTTCCGCCTGGGTGACATAGCGAGTCTCTGTCTCAAAAATAAATAAATAAATAAACATAAAATAAAATAAAATAAAATAAAATTGAAATAAATGTGTCAAAATGACCAAGATCAAGTAAGCAATTTTGTAAGATAAAGGGTTGAGTACTAATTGTTTCAAATTTTCCAAATAAAATATATCTTTATACTAGTTGTAATAAATGTATTCCTTTTAACTTATTAGTGGTATCTGGGCAGAAATATTTAAATAACAACTGTTGCTATAAGTGCATGCACAAGCTTGCATACATTTTTCTGCATTTCACGTCCCCTGTTATTTTTACTCAAGTCCAATTTGCTTGTTTTCACTATAGACAAAATGGATCTGCCCATTTCCATCAAAAAAGTAGATAACAGGGCCGGGCACGGGGTTCACACTGGTAATCCCAGCACTTTGGGAGGCTGAGGCGGGTGGATCACAGGGTCAAGAGATTAAGACCATCCTAGCCAACATGATGAAACCCCCATCTCTACTAAAAATACAAAAATTAGCCCGACGTGGTGGCGCATGCCTGTAGTCTCAGCTATTCTGGAGGCTGAGACAGGAGAATCGCTTGAACCTGGGAGGCAGAGGTTGCAGTGAGCCGAGATTGTGCCACGGCACTCCAGCCTGGGTGAAAGAGTGAGACTCCATCTCAAAAAACAAAAAAAGGAGATAACAGGAAGACACTAAAGCTTAAATTGAGGATTATGAATTAGTCCCAAGAATTAGTTGAAACCACTGGTCAATTATTTCAAAGACCATTACTTTTTTGTATTAAATAGCTTTATTGAGGTATAATTCCAATACCATACAATTTATCCATTTAAAGTGTACAGTTAAATTGTTTTTAGTATATCCATAGATCTTTGCAACTATCACGACAGTCAATTTTAGAACATTCTATCAATTCCAGAAGAAATCTCATATTTATTCATCACCCTTTTATTCCCTATCTCCCCTATTTCAACGCTGAGTAATGGCCATTTCCCTATTTTAGACTTTCATATGAAGGTAATCATATAGCATGTGAAAAAGACAACTATTTTTTTTCCCAAAATCAAACGAAGTATGTTGGCAGACAAAGATAGCATCCAGAAGGATGATGACTCTTGCCCATATTCCTCTAGGTGATATTCCTTTACTTGCTTCTTCTGTAATTGTCCATTGCAGCTCTTAACTCTAATTACTGTTATTCTCTGCTTACAAGTAGTTTCCTTTCTCTAAAAGGAAAAGTAATGGTTAGCTCTATGCATCTTCCCTGCACCCCATGCCCCGTAATATGATTGACTGATTGGAGCAATAATAATATTGAACTGAAAAGATTACTTGGCAAGACTCCTGATGCTCTAAAAGCAGTCCAGGTTGTATTTGGTGATATTTCACAGTAACACTGGTAAAATCATTGTGTTGAGTCCTTCTCAAAATGCTTTAGATGGGATTTTATATCCCTCTTCCTACAGAGCTAGCTATAAAATCCACTATGCGTTGTAAAAAGAATACTACAAAGCTGAACGATGTATGTGTGAACATTACCTGGGCTGTGCTTTAGAACACTGCCTCCCTTTTCCTAATCTTGGATTTCTCTGTAAACTAGAATAACAGTGCTCAGTTAATTCCAACATTCTCTAAACCATAGTCAGGAGCCACAGCCCCACCCAGGAGTGCCTTGGGGATAAGATGGTGATGAAAGCCTTTCCCCGACCTCATGCCATTTATACTCCAGTAGGAAAGTAGACTTTGATCAACAATGTTGCCAAAATAAATGTAAATCATAGGCATGATCCGGTGCTACACAACTGAATTATTTCAAGTAAGGAGACACTGAAGGAGGAGGCTTTAAGCCAGAATTTCAAAATGAACAGTTTCCAGGTTAGGAGGGAGGGAGGAGCATACCTGGCCAGACAACGGTGCATGCTCGTGTCCTTCAGGTTCAGGGTGATGGAGGTCCAGAAGCTGCACTGGAAGAGGGACAGTTTAAAGATTCTCATTATTATTCAAGTGTCATGGAAGCCTATCACCTGTTTTAAACAGGGCAAGCCACATAATTTGATTATTGACTGGAAAACCTTACATTTCCCCATTTAGGCCCTGCACGAAATCTAATTAACTGTAGCAGCTGAGCTGCTCACATTTTATTCAGTAATGAAGGCAATATGATTTTGAGTTCCAATTTTATCTTCTGAGTTTTGTCTTAAAATTTAGTAATTACTAAAGTCATTTTCAGAAATTAGTTTAAAAAGTATGTCAGGCTCCAAATGTTTAATTTAAAAGCAAAAAACAAAAAACCAAAAACAACAACAACAAAAAACAGTCCAGAGGCAGTGGCTCATGCCTATAATCCCAGCATTTTGGGAGGTCGAGGCAGGCAGATCACCCGAGGTCAGGGAGGGGTTCAAGACCAGCCTGGCCAACATGGTGAAATCCCATCTCTACAAAAATACCAAAATTAGTGGGGCATGATGCTGGGTGCCTGTAATCCCAGCTACTCAGGAGGCTGAGGCGGGAGAATCACCTGAACTGGGAAGTGGAGGTTGCAATGAGTCAAGATCGTGCCATTGCACTCCAGCCTGTGAACAGAGTGAGGCTCCCTCTCAAAAAAAATAAAATAAAATAAAAACAGAATAATAAAACCCAAAAGCCATGTTTGGATTCAAACCACTCAAATTTTAGGATAAATTTTACATGTAAAAGAAAAATTATGGTAAAATAAATGTTAGTTACATTTTGCATTACAAAGATAGTTGTAATACTCTCCCCTTAACCTTGGGGGATACATTCCAAGACCCCAGTAGTTGCCCGGAACTGCAGACGGTATTGAATCCTATACTGCATATAATATATCTGCTTACATATGCATATTTGTGATAAAGTTTAATTTGAAAATTAGTATAGTAAAAGATGAACAGTAACTAATAATACAATGGAACAATTATAACAATACACTATAATAAAAGTTATGTGAATGTGCTTCCTTTCTCTCACAAAATACTGTATTGTACTGTACCCTAGATAACTGAAAGCACAGAAAGCGAAACACAAATAAGCAGGGGATTGCTGTACCAGTCTGGGTGTTGAAGAAAGAATGGGATTATTGAGCCAACCTGCAGAAAAACTCTATCTCAAAAGCCTTGTCTCTGGACACTAAGAATAGGTTTCCCAATGTCCCGCCATGGTAATTTGCATTAATAGTCTATGCATTAAAATAATTTGTGTTCAGTAGTAGAGTAAGAGAAAAGGGTGAAATGCAAAAACAGCTGAAGGAAAATAGTCTGATAACAGCCTCACTGATGAGACCAGCAAAAACATTGTTTTTCCCTGTCCCAAAATATCTGAATCACTATATCTGGATGATGGCTTCATCTTTTAATTTCACCTAAAAGTTCATCAGTTAATGACTCATTTGAGATAACCAGCTTTTTCCTTCTAAGAAACGTAGATGCATCCTTAACATCTTTTCTAATTTCCAAGTATCTCTACAGGCTATCAGTGACCTTACACTAGGCCTGGGAAAGCCTTAGACTTCATTAATTAATTCATTCATTCAATTCAACAAACATTTCAAAGATAAACTAGACATTATTTCAGGCACTAGGTTTACATCAATGCATGAAACAAACTACCAATAACGTCTGTCCCCTGAAGAAATTTGCATTTTAGTTAGGAATGGGAAGGAGAAAGAAAACAGTAAGTGTGAGAAATGAATAAATAGCATGTTAGATACTGATAACTGTAATGGGACAAAATGGAGCATATAATAGGGGATTGGAAATTTGGAGTCCTAACTTATAAATATTAAGGATCTTTGAAGGGATTAGTCCTAATCTTATTTACCACTTTAATGCTATGTGAGTTTCCTCATAAATCTTCATAGATGGACTATGTTAGCATAATAGCCATCCTTTATTCAGTGTTTACTGTGTGCAAATAAGCACATAATTTCCACCACACTATCAGCCACAAATCACTATCTCTGCTCTAATCAGAGGCAGGATCATCTTAGACACAGTCTGTGTTTGTTAGGGACACACAGACCAAACAGCAGAACAAGTGGCAGCCATTGTAACCTACACCAGTGTCTTCCCACATAGAGCTGAGGGGTGCAGTGCACGGATATTAGGTTGCTGTGAAACAGTGAGGAAAAGGGAATTGAGCAGTGCGCTTGAAATTCAGTGTGAGTAGGACAGTTTTCATTATCTTAATTATCATATTTCTTCTTAATATTCTGGAAGTGGAAAGGACTCTACTTGCCAAGAAAAAAAAGTTAAATGTTCCTGCTTTTTAAAAATATGATTGACTATTTTATATTTAAGTATACTGGCAATTCAGTGTTAAAAATGGACATGCAAGGGAAAAAAGAGTATCTCTTCCAAAATAATTTTTTGTGCTTGGAAAACAGAAGGCTTAGGTGGTTTACATATTCTGAAGATAGAACAACTTCAATGGAATTCAGACTGTCTTTTCAACTAGCCTGTGTTACAAGTTCTATGCTTCTTTTCATGTGTGACATTTTATTCTTTTATGTACTGATTTCATTTTTTGACTACTGCTTTTAACTTTCTAAACACTGTAATTAAAAAAAAATGGGATTTTTGTTCAGTTTTTAAGGATTCATTTTATTTTCCTTCACGTAAATTTAGCTTACTTGTCTTTCTTTTTTCATATCTCATTGGGTCAAATAAAAAATAGTACTATTGCAGGCCGGGTGCGGTGACTCACGTCTGTAATCCCAGCACTTTGGGAGGCTGAGGCGGATGGATCACAAGGTCAGGAGATCAAAACTATCCTGGCCAACATGGTGAAACCCCGTCTGTACTAAAAATACAAAAATTAGCTCGGTGTGGCACACCTATAGTCCCAGTTACTCGGGAGGCTGAGGCAGGAGAATGGTGTGAACCTGGGAGGCGAAGGTTGCATTGAACAAAGATCGCACCACTGCACTCCAGCCTGGGCGACAGAGCAAGTCTCCATCTCAACAAACAAACAAACAAACAAACAAATAAATAAACAAATAGTAGTACTTCAATATTCTTGGCAGTATGTTTTACTCTGTAAAATTTTTAGTATGTGCTTTCACACAAAGAGGAATTCAATACTAAGGAAGGAAATGCAGATGAATCCCTGGTTTTTCATGCATATGCACATTCTGATTTTGTATATCCATTTGTTCGGGTAAAGTTCTCTCTGCTTCCTTGGCATCCAAGGGGTCACTGCACCACCAAAAGCCCTTAGCTGCCAGCATAGAATAACTTAGCAGGATACCAGTAATATATAATTATCTGGTGTTTGGAATCCTAAGTAAGAATTTCTATTGGACAGCATTGTTACACATTGAAGAGAATACCTATCTAAATACATAATCAATATTTGTTGATAAATGAAAACTTTCAAAGCCAGTTGTTATTATTGGATGTCTCAGCAAAATTCTAAACAGGTAGATAATTTTCATGGGAGCACTATCTCCTTAGTGGAGAAATTCTACAAGTTTATTTAAATTCTGGCCGGTATCCACTTAACATTCCATTCAGAACCTGTATCGTTTCTTAGCTAAAAGCAGCATTTTGTGTTTTTTTTGTTTTTTTTTTTTTAGATTAAAAAGTACAGTATATGATTTTCTCCTTTCAGGGAGGAGCAGAACATAACATTCCGGTTGTCGTTTCAAAAATCTCCAAGGAACAAAGAGGTAACGTGTTTAGAGAATTGTGTACCAGCCATTTCTTTAAGACATTGTTTTCGAAGTGTGACATGATATTTAAGAATCATAAATTATGATGTGATTGACTGGCTTCAGCTTCCCCACCTTCAGGCATTAGTGGCTGAGTTCGCTTCCTGGGTCCTTTCCCTTTATCCTCTTGTCGGGGAGGGCTTCTCTCACAGAAGGGGAACAAGGATGAAAGATAGGAACCCATGAAAGCAGGTATGAGTTAGGGACTGCACGGCTTTTCAGTTGTTTCATTAAACCAACAAAGATACAAAAGTAATGATAACAAGTCCCATTGAGTAAAGACAATTTAAAGTATCTGTTTTTCAGTTCTAATTTGCAATTTTACTCAGCTAACCATTCATAAGAAACTGTAGGAAAACTAATGGAGATATAAAGCAGATGTTGCAATAACTGAAATTAGTAAAACAATATAATGTTTAAAAATGAACTTGGAGCCAATTCCATAGATGACGGATTAAATGTCTATGTCTTAAACTTTTTCACAGAGACCTAATAATCTTAAGTGCATTAGAAAATGTGGTCTCCTACCCTTAGAAAAGCGGCTCACTTTTAGCAACTGTTAGGTCTGCAATAGTAAAAGTAAATGTATCTGCATGTGCTTCAGTAATTAGATCGAATCATATTGTTTTGAATTTCCATTTTTTTCTGGATCTTTTAAGATGCTAACCATATAAAACACTTAATTTTTATATTTGTAAATTTTATCTTTAATTAAAAGTCCTTTCATCTGAATAGCAAAAATAGTCAATATGTTATCAACTGTGCTTTTTCATTCACAGTGGAACTTTCGGGACTACTCTTTATTGGAGATGCAATTCTACAGGTATACATTTTATCATTATATTTGTGGTCAAAACATTAACTCAGTTTACAATATGCCATAGGAAACTATGCTTTTCTTTTCATTGCAGATAAATGGCATTAATGTGAGAAAATGTAGACATGAAGAAGTGGTGAGTTTACTTTTTCCTAATGTTATAATTTTCCGCATGTGCAAATAAGAATTTAGTGCATTGCTGAAGATTGTCATTTCATTCATTAGGCAGATATGACATTTATCCAGTTTGATATCAGATTTTCAAATGTTCTCTTGCTTTTTTTTTTAATTAGAAATAGATTAATGAGTCCTATCAAGGATGAAATGTGTTTTGAAGTTCTTACTTAAAGATGAACATTTTCTATGTTTTTCCAGTTTTTCTATCTACCCCTACCAGTCAATGTCCACTAAATACACCATTAGGTGAAATGTATCTCTAAATCTCTGTAAGTGTTTAAAAGCTTATAAACAATTCATTTATGCCTGTAGAATGTCAGACAGTACAGGCATCCCTCTCTATTTATGGGATTTCACATCGGCAGATTCAACCAACCATCTGTAGAAAATACTTGAGGAAGAATAATAAGAAATAACAATCAATAATAAAAATAATTCAAAACAATATAACAACTATTACATAGCATTTGCATTATATTAGATATTACAGGTTATCTAAAGATGATTTTAGGCATACAGGAGGATATGCATAGTTTGTATGCAAATATTACAACTTGTTATATAAGGGACTTGAGCATCCATGGGTGTTGGTATCCTCTGGGGTCCTTCCTGGAACCAATCCCCCACAGATAGATTACCTAGGAACAAATGGAAGGACATATAAAGACTGCAAGTGTGTATTGTCTGTGTGTGTGAGTGTGTGTGTTTGTGTGTGTGTGTGTGTGTGTGAGAGAGAGAGAGAGAGAGAACCTTAACCTCAAGGCAGACAGGTTTAACACTAGACAGAGTAGTCATCCAGTTTTATGGCGGTGTTTTCTTAGATTTGTGAATGTGCAGATTCACAAGCCCTGGAATTACATATTCTAATTCAACAAGTTTGGGTGGGCCCAGGGATGTGGATTTTAGCAACCGGCTTAAGTGGTTCCATTATTGGTGGCTTCTAAATTCAACTTTCAAAGAAGCTGAAAGGTTAAGGAACTTCTGTTGGGGCTGGTGAAATGACATTAAAAAAATACAGAAAGGAACAAGACTGTGATAGGCATTCTGGGACATGTCTGTCGTGGTTGATTAAATATCATTCTAAAACCTCACTGATTTCTGTATCAGCTCCTATGGGAAACAGTAGAGGAGAAATTGTATTTAAAAGTTTATACTCAAAGGCCAAAGAAAATAAGGAATACTGTAGCCCTTTTGCTTGTCACAGCTCTAGTTTATTTGGGTTTTGAATAGACTGCTCCTCTGTTAAAAGCTATTTAGAGAAAACTATGTTGATACATTTCAAATCTCAGAGAGGCAACCTCAAGTGTCTGTGAAAAGCCACGGCTGCACAAGAACTGATACGAAGGAGGGTTTTTAATTAGGGACACTTGGCATAACTAATCAAGGTTTTTTAGTATTTGTCACTTGTCTTTGTCTTCTTAAAATCTTATTTGAGCCATGCTCTTGCCACTCTGTTCTCAACTTTATGTAAAATATACATATTTCAAGTCCCAAGTTTCCTACAAATATGTGCAAAGAGAATTAATATTTTAGAACAAATTTGTAAACAAGTGAGAAACCAGCACAGCACAGAGCCTTCTATTTTGCAGATTCCTATGTAAATTTTAAATATAGTCACATAAGCCAAGCTGCTTGTAACCTGACTCTTTTTTCAAAAGTACAAAGTGATTTTAAACTCATTACCCAGGGAGTAAAAACAAGTGCATTCTCTTTTAAAACCACATGCTGTTAGATGGAATGCAATTTGCCCTTCAGAGGCAGGCAGCATGCTTAGACAAACTGAGATGGAGCTTTGATTAAACAGATTATTGCGGCATGAAAGATTAGAATGTGCTAATAATTCCACTTCTGAATGGTACTTATTTTGTTATAAAGGCAAGAAATTTGGGATTGTATTGCAAATTATATGTGGTCCTTCACAATAAATTTTATTTTTTTCTGAGAAGCTTAACTCTATCAGCTTTGAAATATGAGTACTAATATTTTCATTTATATCTAATAATTGACTTTCCAACAGCTATTAGATGCTTTGTCCTCACTGCTTATTAGCTAAGCCAATAGACATACACCTCAGCAGAACAGAGATATTAATTAAATGTTTAATAATAAACCTACAAGGGCAGAAAAAGGTATAACAAGCTCAGAGAATGTAGGTGGTTTTCAGCTAGCATGCTGATGTACCACATTTCTTATTCCAAATAGTATGCTGATATGCCAGATTCCTTGTAAAACACCAAATTCAGAAACAAATTGGGCAGGTATGGAAGCATGTTGTTTGTGCATATGTAACTTTTATTTTATACACCTACGCTATTCCTTGATGTTAGAAATTGTGCGTTCAGCCTATGATCGGCTTTACTGTCAAACAGGCTTCAACAGTGTAAATGTTTTGTGTTGGAGTGATTAGGTTTGATTTATATAGAAGGGGGATTTTACATTGTCCAGGTAGTGGACAGTACCTGGTGCTGTGAGCAGTGGGTGCTCAGTAGATTTGTGGATGGGATTCTGTAACCAAATGCCTAGAATTAGATCACGGAAGCATATACATCTACTGTATATATTTCTCATGGGACCAGTACGGGAGTATAATAAGTGAATTCCTGGCTTCATTCACATCACCCACTGCATTCTTGCTGGAAGATTGTTAAGGAAGAGAATCTCACAGTTTCCTCATGACAGGAAACTAGAACCAGTGCCCAGCACTGCTTGGCATGCAGCATAGTGCATACATAGGGCTTCAATGCTCAGAAACAACTCTGCAAATCGTAGCTCAACCACTTATGAACATTGTAATTTAAGGTCAACAGAATGAACTAGCCTTTTCTATCTCTCTATTATGTATTCAAAAAATGAACAATTAATAAATGTTGTGGGAATGAATGAGAATACCATTTGTGAAACTCCAAGCATATACCTGGCAATTAAATGGTCATACATTATTTTGATACCACCAAATGCCGCCGCTCACATGCTGCTGCTCATCTCCCTATTCCCCCTCCATGGGCACTGCTGTGTCAAGGTGGGACAGGGTCTGCTTAGGACCCATGATGGGTCCTGGGGGGTCACACACAGACAGAGTCAATGCTGCTGCTCAGCATCCCATGCTTCCTCCAACAATTCCAGTGAGGAGTTGACATCGTAAAGAGTGGCAAGGCAAGACTGGCAGGACTGTGTGAAAAATGGGGATTCCTTGTTCATCCTAGCAGTGTGTCTTTTTATTTTCCATGTGAACATGTTTTGGAGCTTATGAGTTGTGCCTCCAAGACATCAAAACCCATCAAGGAAAGCGATCTATTGCCACTGCAGATGTTAACATTGATGCTACTCTCTTTGCCACTGAACCCTAAACACAGTAAGCTGATGGCCATCTCTATATCTTGTCATCTGTATTTTTCTTTTGCTTAACAAGTAAACTGATCACATATCAAGAATTATTTGGGCTAGGTGTGGTGGCTCATGCCTATAATCCCAGCACTTTGGGAGGCTGAGGTGGGTGGATCATGAGGTCAGGAGTTCAAGACCACCCTGGCCAACATGGTGAAACCCCGTCTCTACGAAAAATACAAAAAAATTAGCTGGGCATGGTGACATGCACATGTAACCCCAGCTAATCAGGAGGCTGAGGCAGGAGAATTGCTTGAACCCGGGAGGCGGAGGTTGCAGTGAGCTGAGGTCATGTCACTGCACTCTAGCCTGGGCGACAGAGCAAGACTCCATCTGAAAAAAATCAAATAAAACAAAATTAAACAACAACAACAACAAAAAATGAATTGTGTGAGTGGCTGGGTGGCTGGACGCAGTGGCTCACGCCTGTAATCCCAGCACCTTGGGAGGCCCAGGAGAGCAGATCACTTGAGACCAAAGATTCCAGACCAGCCTGGCCAACAAGGTGAAACCCTGTCTCTACTAAAAATACAAAAATTAGTCAGAAGTGGTGGTGCACGCCTGTGATCCCAACTACTCAGGAGGTTGAGGCAGCAGATTTGCTTGAACCCAGGAGGCAGAAGTTGCAGTGAACTGAGATTGTGCTACTACACTCCAGCCTCTCAGAGAGAGCTAAAAAAAAAAAAAAAAAAAAAAAAGTACTTACCTGAGTGCCATCTATGTGAAAACACTAACACTGAATACTTTTTGAGGCTGAGTACTTTGTGTGATAAGAAAGAATATATAAATAACTCTATATCACTGCAACCTTATTGGTATGTGGGCATCATTTCTTTTGATTTTAATAATTGAGTATACAAAAAATTTAAGAAAACTATTAGAAAGGGGCAATACGAAAACAATGTTTATTTACAATGGTCTCTAACATGTAACAATGGTGATCTTCCTCTCTTCACCAGAAATAATAGGAAATAAGATTTAACTACAGCAGAAAAGTATTCATTGAGTAAAAAGCATCCTGGTTCTAACAAGATAATCCATTCGCATAACTGAAATTTCCATCTAACGAGACTTTTGAAAGAGTAAATCATCATTAGGCAAAGCAAGATGGATGCATAGCTGATTCCAGAGGTTGCCTTTTAAAGTAGCATTTCCGCTTTCAGACTTGAGATTTATGGGTTTCAACAAAAGTATGTTCATTTGCTTTTTGTTTCTATGATTTTCATGATAGAATTTATTAGGTAATTTGAATTGCAAAAATTAACACCTAATTCTGAAGTCATGATTTTGAACTAAACTCTAAAAAAATTCATAATTCTAAAAGAATAGAATGAGTAACTAAAACTATGTAATTTAAAATGACACCTTCATACAATGAAAACAAATGCTGATAAAACCTAATGCAAAAATCCTGGTTAATAGCATTTTGCTTGTTATGATATATGCCTAACTTAATTTAAAATTTCCATTGGAGTAAGAACATATTCTTTTTTACTTTAATCAGACAAAAACAATACAAGAGTTATAACAAATCATCTCGGAAAAGGTATAAATTTATGTATTGCAACAATCTGGGAGGTTTTATGTGTCACCAAGGAACATATTTAGGATGTGAGTTTAGCACAAAGATCATTTTAGATTAAAATATCATGAGGTACAAGTCATGTTTTACCTAACTGCTGACTATTACATTGTTTACAATCTGAAAATAGGTTTTGAGCTCTAAGTGATTAATACTTCCTTAAGAATTCTAACCATACTGGATAGTTTTTCTCTGAATTAACTTCCACCAAGGAAAGCCATATACAATGTAATTTAACTTTTAATATTTCTCAGTGTTCTGGGAAATGTTTAGTGCAACCACAAAAAGGCCAGAAATACTGTCTACACTATGCCTGCTTTTGAAAAGAAATAAAATATCCTTGCCTTATTTTCATACTTAGCTTTGCATTAATACTTTTAGGGATGCCTTTTTTGCTAGACCCACATGTCCGTCCCCTGTATAAGTTATGCATCCATACAGCACAGGTGACATTTTAATGACATACATGCTTATACTGACCACTGATTCTTATCAAATCTTTATTTGTGGTCTATTTTTTGAGTGAAATTGAACATCTTAGAGAACTGAAAGACCTGATTTTGCAAAGTTCCATCTAGTCCATCCCTTCAGCTGTAACAAAATACTTGCAACTGGATAGCTTATAACTAATAGAGGCTTTTTTTTCCCCTCACAGTCATGGAGACTGGGAGGTCCAAGATTAATTCACCAGCAGGCTTGGAGTCCACTGAGGGCTGCTCTCTGCTTTAAAGATGGTATCTTTTTGCAGCCTCCCCTGGAAGAGATGAAAGCTGAGTGGGTCTTCACACAGCAGAAAATATTTGAAGGGCCAAGCAACTCTCTGAAGATCCTTTATGAGAACATTAGTTCTGTGCATGAGAGTGGAACCTTCATGATTTAATAACTTCCCAAAAGACTCTACCACTTGCTACTACCACTGTGGGGGTCAAGTTTCAATATAAAATTTGGAGGGACACAAATGTTCAAACCTTAGCACGTTCTATTAATGAGACAAAACCAGGCCTGAAAAACCAACTACTTAGTAAAGCCCCAGCCAATTTCCTTGTAGAGGAGTCTAAAAACTGGATACACCCCAGCAGGCACACCTAAACCAGGTCAAATTGGGAAGAGAAAGCTGGCAGGGCAGGCATGGGTGTGCCTGCAATCCCTTCACACATTCCGCAGGGATCTTCTCAGACACTCTCCTGTCTGAGGGATTGGAATGAGGAATGTATGTTATACAAATTCTGTAATTTTCACATAGCTGACATTTTATTTTAAAATAATCAGCTCATCAAACTGAAAGCCAAGAAGAAACCATATGACAATGGAGGTTTTAACGCAAGGTAAAAGTTTTGTCACACTTTTCCACTCTGTGATGTTGATAAAGGGCCTCATTCTCTCTCGCCCTCGTTTCTCTCATCTGAAGGATTAAGAGTTCGAAGTAGATTATTGCTTAGGTCTTTTTCAGGTAAAATGTTCAATTCTTTCATTGTCAAATAACACAAACATTTGTTAAAGCCTACAGAGCTGCAGCACACAAAGAGAAACCTCTAATGGGGATACCTATGGGCCTCCCTGGATGACAATGCATCTACACTGGCTCAGCAATGGTCACAAATGCACCACGCTGATGCAAGATATTAATAATAGGGGAACTCTTTGTATTCCTGACTCTCCAAATTCTCTATCAAAAGACAATTTTAAGGCCTTCCCAGGGAGCAAATGTACAATTTTAAGCAAATGAATACAGAGATGTAGGATTAGGCAAAATGTTTTTACTTCTCTCCCCTTTTGAAATACTTTCTATATGATAATGAATAATTCTTTAAACGTAAAAATCATAAAGATAAAAGAGGAAGAGAATAGAAGACAAGGGGAAAGGGTTGTTGGCAATATTATTTAAGAATAGAGAGCAGATAGATGGAGCGGGGGGTACCTAAAGGGCCAAGGGGCTATGGCCAAAGCCACCATTCAGCAAACATCCCCGCTGCAGGCCTCAGACAGGAATCGTGAATGGGAGTGTTGAAACGAAGAATTGAAGAGGTGTAATCAAGAACAGGCAATCGAATTAGAGTTCAAGAGGCTCTGAGTATTCAGCCCCAGGCACTGCCGTAAGTACAGTGAGATGTCCATTCTGGGCAGTAAGTGCTCTGTGTTTGTCCTTCCTTCAGCTCTCAGAATATTGGCAGCCGGTTTCGCCACTCAGAGAAGAGGTGAGAGGATTCTTTTTTAATGAAATTGATCTAACAGAAATAATCCACAAATAATACATTTGGACTCTCCTGGTGCAAACAGAGTTCACCCTAAACCTCACAGTGGAACCCAGTGGATAAACCATGAGTCCTGTACCCAACGCTGTCAATTTGCTTTTCAGTATCTCACTCTGAAATATTTTGTGATACCAAAGGATCATTAAGATTTGAAGAAAATCAACCACATCAAAGGCAGAGGCTAAAACAGGAAAAAAATTGAGGAAACAGACAAAGCAAGGTTTATTTAGCAAAAGGATTTTATATTGTAATATTTTCAGATAGATGGTGAAAATTAATTTGTAAATGAATTAACTCTACCATTATATATAAAAGGAACATGCAGAAAAAGAGGAACTCTTGGATATTAACACTTTGATATCCATCTTTAAAAATTAGATTACAAAAATGTTGGGAAACATATCAAAATGGAGTAAAGTAGCAAACAAGAAGGTAATATGGCAGATAAAGAATATGAGAGACAGCACATTGAATAATTTTGACATTGAACCAATGGAATTCAGAAATAAAATATTACATGAAATAAAAGGAGCATCCATTATCAAAAGAATAATACAAGAAAAATATCCAGACTTCTTGTATATGTTTTCCAGTAGAAACACAATACCAATTAAAAGAAAATGAAATAAAAGCATTTTACATGTCTATACTTGCCATGAAGTAGCATCAAATTTTGATATTACTCTGCATTTTCCTAATGACTAAAAATATTGAACATCTTTTCTCATGTTTGTTATATATGCCTATATCACCTTTAATAATTGGGTTCACTTCTTCTTACTGATTTCTAAGAGTTTGTTTACATAATCTGGCTACAAGTCAGATATACAATTCGCAAATATTTTTTCCTCATCTGTGGCTTAATCTCTTCAATTACTTAATGGTGCTTTTTGAAGCTCAAAGGTTTTGCCTGTTATGAAGTATACTTTATCAATATTTTAATTTTGTCAGTTGTGCTTTTGGTGTCTTACTTAATAAATCTTTTCCTAATCTAAGGCCATACAGACTTACTGTCATTTCTTATTCTAATGGTTTTATGGTTTTAACTCTTATGTCTAGGATTAATTTTGAGTTAATTTTTGTATATGTTCAGGTAAGGTGTCCCATTTATTGAGAAGACTATTCTTTCCTATTATATTGCCTTGACACTTCTGTTGAAAATGAATTGCCCTAAATGTTAGAATTTATTTCCATATTCTTAATGCTATTTCATTAACTTATTCACATATACCAGTATTACATACTTGATTCTTGTAAATTTGTACTATGTTTTGAAATTAAATGTTGGTAAGCCATCAAACTTTGTTCTCTTTAAATCTGATTGTTAAGCAAACTGTTTATATTCGAATGGTTTTGGTTTTTATTTTTATTTTTTCATTCAAGCATTTTATTTGACTCATGATGAGAGAGGAGGTAATTAAAATAAAATATTGAAATATATATTTATTTTGAATTTTCATGTATTTTTCTCCAAATGAAATACATGCATTTTATGCATAATGATATATATTTTTTTTCTTTTTCAACTTTTATTTTAGATTGTGGAGGTACATGTGCAGGTTTGTTACCTGGGTATACTGCATGTTGCTGAGGTTTGGGGTATGAAAGATCCGTTGCTCAGGTAGTGAGCATATTATTCAACAGTTAGTTGTTCAGACCTTGTACCACTCCTTCCCTCCTGCCTCAGTGTCTACTGCTGCCATCTTTGTGTCCATGAATACCCGATGTTTAGCTCCCACTTATAAAAGAACATGTGGTATTTGGTTTTCTGTTCCTGTATTATTTCACTTAGGATAATAGCTTCCAGCTTTATCCATGTTGCTACAACAGACATGATTTATTTCTTTTTTACTGCCATATAACATGTCATGGTGTATATGTACCACATTTTCTTTAATCCTCCATTGATGGGTACTTAGGTTGATTCCATGACTCTGCTACTGTGAGTGGTGCTGCAATGAACATGTGAACACGTGTGCCTTTTCTGTAAAATGATTTGTTTTATTTTGGATATATACCCGGTAATGGGGATGCTGAGCCAAATGGTAGTTCTATTTAAAACTTTTTGGGAAACCTATAAACTGCTTTCCACAGTGGCTGAACTAAATTACATTCCCACCAACAGTGTATAAGCATTCCCTTTTCTCTGCAGCCTTTATTAACAGACATTCTGAATGGTGTGAGATGGTATCTCATGTGGTTTTAATTCACATTTCTTTGATGATTAGTGATGATGAGCATTTTTAAATATGTTTGTTTGCTGATTCTCCATCCTCTTTTGAGAAGTGTCTGTTCATGTCTTTTGACCATTTTTTAATAGGGCTATTTGTTTTTCGCTTGTTCTATTGTTCCAGTTCTTTAAAGACTCTGGATATCAGTCTTCTGTTGGATGCATAGTTTGTGAATATTTTATCCCATTCTGTAGGTTGTATGTATACTCTTTTGATGTTTTCTTTTGCTGTGCAGAAGCTGTTTAGTTTAATTAGGTCTCACTGTCAATTTTTGTTTTCATTGTAATTATTTTTGAGGACTTGGTCATAAATTCTTTCACAAAGCTGATGTCCAAAATGGTGTTTTCTAGGTTTTCTTCTAGGATACTTAAGAATTCGATGTCATGCATTTAACTCTTGGATACATCTTGAGTTAATTTTTGTATATAGTGAAAGGTAGGGGTCCAGTTTCTTTCTTCTGCATATGGCTAGCCAGCTATTCCAGCATCATTTATTGAATAAGGAGTCCTTTCTTAATTATTTATTTTTGTCGACTTTGTCAAATGTTAAATGGCTATGGACATATTGTTTTATTTCTGGGTTCTGTATTCTGGTTTTAGATTGACAGAAAATTGCAAAGATAGTACCAAGAATTCTAACGTACTCATCATACATATTTCCCTAATACTAATATCTTTTGATATTATGAAATTACTGTTAATATATTGCTACCAAGAAAAGCTTGCACTTCATTCAGATTTCATTAGTTTTTACCTAATGACTTTTTTTTCTTCTTATAGGATCCCATCAGAATACACATTGCATTTAGTAGTCATGTCTCTTCAGGGTTCTTGCTTTTGATTTTTTGATGACTTTGAAAGTTTTAAGTAGTACTGGCCAGGTTGTTTTGTAGGATGTCATTCAGCTGAGATTTTTCTGGAGTGTTTGTGTGTGTGTATTTGTGTGTGTGTGTGTGTGTGTGTGTGTGTGTGTGTGTGTGTGTGTCCATACTGGGTTTATGTGGTTTTCCAGAGGAAGACCACAGAGTGAAATTGCCATTCTTATCACATCATACCAAGAGAAAACTACTGGCATGACTTATTACCATAGATAATAACATTGATTACCTGTCTGAGATAGAGGTTTTCAGAATTCTTCATTGTAAATGTATTTTTTTTCTGTCCAGGCTATGTTTTCAAGAAGTATGTCACTATGCACAATGCCAATTATGCAGTTGAAAATTGTGCTTTGCTGCGTGAGGGCAGGCTATCTACATAAATTATTTAGAACTCTGTTAACATAGATTTATCTATTTTTCTCAATTTATTATTTGATCATTTTGATAAATCACTGTGGATGCACATAGATTTATTTTATACTTTGGGATATAATCCAATACTATCTTATATATTTTACTGGTCAAATGGTTCCAGTTTTGGGTATTGGGAGCTCTTTCTGTGAACTTCAGTGTCACTTTTAAATACCCTAATATAGTAGGGTTTTTTTTGTTTGTTTGTTAGTTTTGTTTTGTTCTTTGCAGCTCCTCAGCTTCTAGCACTAACGTACTTTTCAGGCTGATCTTGCATATTTCCTGCCAGTCTAAGAATCTGATATTTCCCCTAGAAGTTCTGGTTGCCTTTAATAGAGAATGGTACCAGAAATCAAAATCTGGGTTCTAGGTGTGCAAAGTAGTGGCGCTTTCTAGGCCTTCTCAGCTAGGAAGGAAATGTGTGTATACATGCCTGTTCATATACACATAGAGGCATACCTTGGTGAAACCATGGGTTTGGTTCTAGATACTGCAATAAAAGACCACATATTCGGTACATTGTACTCTGCTCCAATGATGGGTGTACTACAATCTCAGAAATCATCACCAAATAACTTACTCATGTAACCAAAAGCCAGCTGTACCCCCAAAACTATTGAAGCCAAAATAAAAAATAAAAAGATAAAAAAGAGAATATCGCACTAAAGTGAGTCTTGTAAATTTTGGTTTATGAAAATATCTATATGGAAGTGCATATACAAGTTATATTTAAAATATACTATAGTCTATTATGCATGCAATAGGATTATTTCTTAAAAATGTGCATACCTTAATTAAAAATACTTAATTGCTAAAGAAACTAACAATTATCTTAGCTCTCAGTGAGTCATAATATTTTTGCTGGGATAGAGTTTTGCCTCAATGTTGATGACTGCTGACTGATTGGAGTAGTGGTTACTGAAGGCTGGGGTGGCTGGGGCAATTTCTTAAACTAAAACAACAGTGAAATTTGCCACATCTATTGGCTCTTCCTTTCATTAAAAAAAATTCTGTAATGTGATGCTGTTTAATAGCCTTTTGAACTTCTTTCAATATTGGAGTCAATTTTCTCAAACCGTGCTATTGCTTTATCAATTACATTTACGTAATATTCTAAATTCTTTGTTGTCATTTCAAGAATGTTCACAGCATCTTCATCAGGAAGAGTTTCCTTTCAATAAGCCACTTTCTTTGCTCTTCCATACAAATCAGCTCCTCATGTATTCATGTGTTTTCATGACATGGCAGCAACTCAGTTGCGTGTTCAGGTTCTGCTTTTTTTTTTTTGAGATGAAGCCTCACTCTGTCACCAGGCTAGAGTGGAATGGCATGATCTTGGCTCACTGTAACCACCGCCTCCCAGGTTCAAGCAATTCTCCTGCCTCAGACTCCAAAGAAGCTGGGACTACAGGTGCGCACCACTA